AAGTCCCAGCCAACATGGATGTTCCCATGGTGGCCCACGCGCTCTACCAAGTTGTAAACTTCGCCAATGCTACGGGAGTTGATTTGACTGTGTGCCTGAGATTGAGAGATGGCATCGCAAATCTTTGCTAAAACTTGTGTACGGCCTTTCTCAGTAGAGACATCAAGGTCCGATGCTGGGATGGCGGCCATGGCATAAAGAACGAGATTTGCAAGGAACGGCTCCCCTTCACCCGAGAGATCTGCATTGATACGAGGCCGGCCATTGACAGCAGTTACCAAGCGGCTCGTTTGGTTGAGGAGATTGGGATTGCGTCGAGCTCGGGATCTTGTGATTGCACTCCAGATGAGAGCACAAACCACAGCGTTTGTTGTTGGTGTCGTCGAGGCGAGCCCGCTTAGCTGATTCTTGATAGATTGAACCTGGGATACTGGTATTCCAAATACCTTGCAGACGCAAGGGTGGAACTCGGAAGGCAAGTTTGGGGGGATTCTGGAATATTCCGGATGAGAAGCAAACAGGGCGTCGAGAGATTTTGACGAGGTGATTTCGAGGTCAGCGGAGAGATGTCGTCTAAGCCGATCAGGCCCGTCACGGGTCGGTATGGGGGTCAATCGCTCCGGACTATCCATGTTTCTCGCCCAGAGTTTGGCAATCTCTGCAAATCCGAAGGCATCTACAACGTTGTGATGTAAGCAGATGCATAGCCCTATCCCTTCGTCGCCAGCAAAACGAAAAACACTTGCATCGAATATCGGCGCGCCTGGTGCCGTGAGGTCGTTGCCAGCCATGTCTGGCATCGGCCATACGCTATCGGGTATCGCAGTGGGTTGCATGCCGTCCATACAAAAGGCCTTGTATGATACTGTGGTTGAACCTTTATCGGCCATATTGAGCGTATTTTCGCATGGACCCCATTGAATCTCGAAGGAGGCCGCCTTGTCGTCGTCGGGGCACACCGAGACCACTCGGCCACATAACCATGGAACTTGCTTTGCTAGCAGATCTAAGCCGGCCCTCAGTTTCTGCAAGGCTGCATTGCCTGTATTAGGAACCCGAAATACTAAGAATGCCCTGATATAAGTTCTGGGCATAATTGTATCCAACGGTGTAAGTCGCTCTGTCTTCAAATTGTGAGCCATGGTGTTGCTGCATGTAAGTATGAAATGTCAATTCATGTCGGCCTGCTTTACCGGCTGCATGGTATTATATAGTTGGACTTTTTAAAGATTAAGTCATGGGCCACGGCCACAGTTTGTTACATTTGGATGGCTGAAAATTCTGGGCCCTACATTTGTGGACACAAGACAGGCATCACTTGCATCGCTTGAATGCAAGGAACGAGCCACAGAATACATTGGAAACGCGACAGGTTATTCGTGATTAGACCTCGTACGAAGGGTGTTTACGTGGACATGTGACGTAATACAGTTCGTGGGTCTCAAGTACGGCCGGACAGCCGGACAGCCGGACGCCCGGACGCCCGAACCCCGAACACCCGGACAGCATGCAACAATAGTGTCAAGAGAACTATTCGGCGCCTCGCGGAACATGTCTTGGCCAGGAAAGATCTGGCACTTCAACGGCAGCCTTGATATTGGCGCTGTCGGAAGCCAATCGTAGCCCAGCGCATGTTCAAGCCGAGAATGGGGATACCCTTTTCATTTCTCCTTCTCATTTGACCAAGCATCCAATGCTATCCAAGTGGGACGAGCACTTGTGTCACATGATCATTGCAGTCTGGTACAATCGGCCTCGGGCCCGTGGCGCCGCGGAAGCTATGCAGTTTTCCACGATCAATAGAGTACGAAATGAACCGACCGAACGGCATGTCTAGGAATGGGGAAGGAGAGACGATTCAAGCCAGACGGCTGCGGCTATCAGGCATCCCGCGAGCAGTATGACTCCTGCTAATTTTCTGAAAATCCTCTGCGCTAACGAATCCTCCCAAGTGTGAAGCTTGCAAAGTCCGCAAGGTACTGATCCGACGAGGATAAGCAATACTGGGTATCCAAACTAAGTCAATGGTGACAGGTTCGCTGTGACAGATCTAGCCCCTGCTCCAATTGCCTCGCATCTGGCATTGCTTGCCAGACTCCATACAATGCGGTCGAGAGTCGAGCGAGAGCTGATAGAATATCACTGCTGTGCGTTACTATTGCACCTGGGACAAGACTATGCTAATTCAAAGTCAGAATGGAACGAGTCGATGTACTCGAAAAGAGACTGGGTGAGGTAGAGAATAAAAGACTGGCGGAAGCAGAAGATCCCCAGCCACGGGGAGCTGATTATCGCACGACTTTGGAAAGCCCGATGGGAGGCCTCAGGGCAGATGTTGTACCGTCCATGGCCGAACCAACCACCGGGACCAGTCCATATCAGGGGCATTCGTCCTTTGACGACCTCTCAATTCAGGCTGCTGAATTCGCAAAACAGGCAACTGATAAAGAAAGGCATCAGGATGGACCCGACGTTGAGACCACCCTTGATACGCTGCAGTTGGCTCTCAGAGACACCAAGTCGACGCCGTCAACCGCCGACTATCAATTTAACGGGGTTCAAGCTACCAGCCACGGCTCAATTATTCTACCTCTGCCTGTGAATCTTATAATCGCCATCTTACAACACATCAAAAGTTGGCACCTAGCCGTAGCCTAGTCTCTTTTGGAGCAAATAGCTGACATTATTAGAACAGCACCCGGTATTTCTTTCGTCATACGCCATCAACGACCCAGCTTTGGTCGAGGACCTGTCGCGACAAGTCTATTTCCCCACCAACTCTGTAACTATCGGCCACATCACTGCTTTGCACGCGGTTCTATATTTCCTGCTAAGAGAACATATAACGCTCTCAACCGCGCTATGTAAAGACTACGACCTTAAACCCCTTCTCGACAAGTGCGAGCAAAACGTAAACTCTGGCCTTGAAACGTATGATGTATTCGCCGTACCAAGTTTTGAAAATCTTCTGGCTTTAACAATGGGAGTAAGATGCATATTCTTATACTACCCATTGCGCCAGGGGGTCATGTTGCTAACCCAGAGCTCTTAGATGATCAAAGCCCAGGAAGAAACGAAGCCCTTGCTCTGCACCACCTTTATATCAGCCGCTGCCAGTCAATGCCAAAGACTCGGGTACCACCGGGAGATTACGTATCGAAATGACCAAACGGGGAGGCGAGAGCACATGCGCCGCCTTTTTTGGACGGTATACGTTTTCGACAAGAACATGTCCCTTCTACAGGGGCATTCATCCCATATGCAAGACTTTGAGATAGACGCCAAGTATCCTGCCTTGTCACTTGTTGTAGGGGTCAGGCCATGGGATGAATCCTTCATAGTTGCTATCAAGCTAGCGAGGATCCAGGGCCAGATTTACAATAATCTCTACTCAACAATGGCTATAAAAAGTAGCTCACCCGACAGAGAGCAGCACATCAATACTCTTCAAGCCAATATGCACGAGGTGCGTGCAGAGTTCCAACAGGTACAGAAAGTTCAAAGTCTGGAGAGTATTTGACGGCCTGGAGTTGACACCTGAGCAGATAGATCCTAGCCTCGTCAACCACAGGCAAATATTCGTCTTGTCGAGAAAACATTGGGATGTGATGTACTATTCGACACTGACGTCACTTCTTCGGGGGTCCCTGATGACGGGAAGCGTGGTACGAATCAGCACACAGTGCTTCCATGCAGCACGCTTGTGTCTGCAGAGCCATATGCAGTGCTTTTCTGGCTACTTGGATTCCGGCTTCCTCGAGGACAAGGACTACGCCAACTGGTAAGTCCACCACTCACTCTTGGAGCGTGATACTTTGACAGACTAACTTGACTTGTTTAGGGTTTTGCACTGCTCCTCCTTTAGCTCATTCGTAGTCATTTTTCTTCATGCCGTTGCAGGCAGCCGCATGGACGATGTTGAACTTCTAGACGACATGGTGGGCATTTTGCACAAGGTTCAGGGCTCCTCAAAGACGTCTGAACGGCTTTTCCAGGTTTGCGGGACCTTTGCAACGCTGGCTAGACAATTGGTGGAAGCGCGGAATTCTTGTGTAGGGACGTATAGCCGGCAACAAGACTCGCTGCAACTGGACATTGGGGTACATCGGTCTGAAGCCATGGCTGGGGAGACAATGCAGCAGGTGTTTGATGAGTCGATGACAAGTTCTTTGCCGCAATGGGAGTCTCAAGACATGTCTGCGCTCTTGGCAAATTGGATTAGTGGACAGCCAGCAGGCATGGATACCTTTTTTTGAGGCATGCGGTATTAATGGCTTGGTATGTACTATAGGGAGTCCATTCCCTCTGCCCCTGCCACAATTTGGCCTATATCTTGGTCAAATTTCAGATGTCAGTTTGTAGCTATATTGGTGGCTATGTAGCATAAGTTGGTTGGTTTCTCTAACAAGCGTGTCAGTTGGGGCTGGCGCAATATTATCTCTGAACATGAGAAAGGCAAATCCTGAATAGACTTTGGATGATCAATTGAGGGAGTGCATTTGTCGTGTCTTTCTTCTGATACGCACAGTAACGCATTCCATGACCGCCGAGGCGCTCGCATTATTTACAATAGCTGCAAGACCACAACGCTTCTAAAAAGCGGCAAGAAAACCTGAAAGACTGCTTATCATCGAGCACCTTGAGAGTTTAATACACAAGGCTGTTGAAAACCGGTTGTGGTATAGTATCAATGTGCCCGGTAGTCGCCTAAATTTTGTTCAAAAAGCCGTGCTGTGCATCTTAGGCCAAGAGACAAAAGGAGAAAATAAGCTACGACTATGTAGTTGCTGTATAGCAACAAAGGCGAAATGAACCTTGCAACAACAAACTGGTCCAGAGCTTCCAGCGTAGCCAATGACACAATGGTCCGATATGGGTAATAGTAGTGAGTTAAACATATACATACCTATATACAAATATTACAGCATCTCAATTCGGCCATGCAAGGACCAGCGCATTCACTCTCCAACTAGTTTACTTGCCACGTGTCGAAATACCACCTAAGGCAATCCCATGACTGATTCTGCCAACCCTCCGCGCGCATTCCAAGTAATTCCTGTAGGAAAATGTAGCTTGACATAACCGACCAAGCCCCGGCATACTTGGTAGTAAGACTTGATCCATTCCACCTCCAGCTTGTCTCTACTATTATAATTAGCCTCGGTCGTAATTGGCAGTTGGATAAATTGTGATGGACACTCCCTACTTTTCTTCTTGATTTTTGAGTATCTTGTTTCCAAAAAATTGAGCCGAACCAAGGGACTCCTCAACATAGACGAATGGCCGACTGTGGATGTTGACCCATGCCAGCATCCTGATTCCATCCGCAACGGCAGTCAAATGCACATACATTCCATCAAACCTATTCTTTTTTTGTATATCCGTCACCGCCACGATAGCGTCCTTGGTCGGTCCAAGTAAAGTCTCGAGCGTAGCTGGATCCGGTTTGGCGGCTTGCGTGGTAATGCACAGGAATTTTCTCTGTTCCTGAAATCCCTTGAAAACCTCGGCAGCCTTTAGTTCACAGTTATAATTAGTAAATGGACAAGTAAATAATAAAACTCGTCCAGCTCAACCGCTCTACAAACCTGCACGGCAACCAGTCCACCCAATCGGTTACTTAAAAGCAAGTATTGTTTGACTGACGAGTCGATAAAGTCGTCAAAGGCCTGAATGGCCTCGGAAGTCGAGTCTGTCAGTGTGCTGGGGAGAATTGGACCATCAAAGACGGACAAATCTTCGAGGCGCGAGACGACGGCCTCCAATCTGGCATTGTTGTCAGATACAAACTTGGCGCCATGCACAAAATGACTTTCCCATGCCTACCGCTTAATAATTGTTGACAGGTTGTGCATGGTCCTATTGTTGTCCATGACGGTATGCCCGGTTTTGGCTGGGAACGGCCGGCCATAGATCAAGTCAAGGGCAGACTTCAAAGTTCACACTGTCCGCTTGTTGGGATTAGATTTTGAAAAGATCCAACGTTGTAATTCATTGCGGCAAATCATTTTGTAACAACCCCGAGTCTTTGTTCAAAACGGCATTATGGTTGCCTGGTTTGGCACCGCTCAGCCTTTCTGTCCGTCTTTGCACACGTAATGTGCCCAGTGTTGCCTGGCATTGACCATTCTCGTTCCTGACGCCACTTTACATCCAGTCCACTTTAACCCCATGCAAATGGAGCTCGTTTGCGAGACGCCATCAGGCTGCAACTCAAATGGCACCGGCAGCGCGGTGCCGCGGGTCCAGGCGCCCGAAGATTCATTAGAATCGACATATCCACCTGCTCATCTACCGGCTTCTTTAAGGACAATGAGGGGACAAAGATAGCCGTGGCCTGATATGCACTCGTGGGTGTGATCCTCTCATGGAATTAGGTGTTTTCTCCAAGTCTGAAGATGCTAGTTCTGCGGCCCAAACTAGGACTGACTTTTTGGCATACCAATGACGACATTGCCGACATGTATCCGCGTCCCTGAAAATCCTTATTGTTACGATTGACAGCTATGGGTAGCATTAAACAGTAGTGTAAGTCCTTGATTGAAGCCATCTAGCGACATGATTCATGTATTTTTACAGGCGGCAGTGGAAAACACCTTGTTTAACAGGAATCATATCAGACTCTATTATAATGCAGAATGACATGGTGTTGAGCGCGACAGCGGGAACCTGATATACTTCATCGGAAGATGACACATGGAGCAAGCCCTGACGATAGACCTTGGTCAATGCGGTCGCTGTTATTCGCATTCGCAACTGATCAGCATTTCACTAATTAGCCCAGTGGTACCGGCATCTCTCTGCGGCCTTTCCCTTTCATCAAACACGGGCACGGGCGAATGTGTTGGCCGCCTCATTAATCAAACCTCTTGGCCCGAGTTCGTACTCGGGCCTCCCTAAGCGAACAATGCTCACATGATATATGACTTGACACGCGATTGGACATTCGCAGTGTCGTCATAGTGACTAATTGCATAAGTCCAAGTCCAATATCATTCTGGCATGCGGTAGTCCTTGCGATGCGGTTACACTGACTATTCAGCGCCACTTCCTCCCTCCGACGGCGACATCCAAAGCAGTCAAAGCACGAGCGGTGCCGTGATTCATCACCATGATGGAGCTGCCATGCTGCTTCATCTCCCTCCTGGCGGCGCCATGCATCCTGACTGTGGCCGCAGCCCAATCTACCACAACCGAAATCGACCTTGTATTCCCCCGCGCAAACGAGACATATCAGCGCGTGTACCCGTTTCCCATCGTATTCGCCATCCAGAACCCAGCGCCGGTATGGCCTCACAACTTCCAACTCTTCTGGCAAACGGGGTCTGTCGGCGAAGAACCCTCGCGCTTCGACTGCGACCGGCTTCCCCTGCGAGGCGCAGACCTGTGGACATCAGGAAACTACAGCGGACCCCAAACGATGACCGAGATATATTCCGCCGGCGTATACATCAACAGCACCGTCGAGCAGTGGTATTTGGCGTGGCACATGACCATGCTTCGCAACTGCACCCCAGACAACAACCGAGTCACGCTCGCCCCGAAACGCCCCGTGGCCGAGGGCAAGATCTTCTTCAACGTGAGCCGCGGCGGGAAACCACCCGACGTCTTCCAGGGCAACGAGAGCACAGCCTGCCCGCTGCCGCTATGGACCGTCAACATTGTCGACCGCGTCGACAGCCATGCCGCGCGCAACCAGAGCCAGTACGGCGACAGCACCAACACCATGTGTCCTGTTTTCGACCCCGATGACGCGCATCCCCGCCCGGAGCCGTGCCAGGCCAAGGCTACAGAGGAACTGGCCCGGAATGTGACGCGGGAAATGCTGTCCACGGCAAAGTGTGCCAATTTGCATTCTTGGCCGAATGCTTCCCTCGCGGGGCCGTGCAACGATACGAAGTGGGAGTCGAGCCTAGCGGCGCAGAAGGAGTCGTTCATGCCTGGGACTACGATTTCAACGGCCATCATAATGGCTATTGCCTTGTTTTTATCAGTGTAGAGGTGCTAGAGGTGCGGATTTCCTGGGCAGTGCGAGGTTATCTGCGACTCAAAAGCTATGTATGTTTTCTTCAGCTTGCAGTTTTTCACCCACGAGGTAGAATGATGAATAAATTGTACAGTATTAGACTGGAATATGGTGCAATATAGGACAGAAAATGTAACAACTTGGGCCAAAGTAGCCATTATTTTAGTACAAAATATACGTATTCCAAGGCAATATCCTGCCTTTCACGACCGTCCATGGTCAATATATACCGGCGCCATCAACCCCATTTTTAAAATTTTACATACCCAAGTCGCGCAGCAACTTGGCCAGACGGGCAGAAAGCCGACTGCCGTGCGAGCGGCCCGAGGCGTCGGTAATCACGCTGCGTCCCGTTTCACTCGACCGCCTCCGCGACTGCATCTGGGACACAAACTTGGGCCACGTGTTGGTCAGGACGAGGTACTTGATGTGGCTCTGGACATTGTCGAACACCCCGAGGGTAAAAGCCGCGGGTATCTCGCCGCGGTACTTGGCGAGGGTTGCCATGTCGGAGTGCGAGACCTCGCGGTTCAGCGGCATGGGCGCCTCGATGTCGAAAGGGGTGGCGGGGTTTGCAGATGCCTCGCCGCACAGGATGCGGGCGGGCTTCTCGAATACGTCCTCGAGGTGTTTGAGCTCGCGCGAGGACAAGTTGAGTGGGAATTCGGCGTCGCGGGGGCTGATGAAGTCGGTGTAGATGGCGAGGGCCTCGTTGTAGACGTCGAGCTTTTGCTCGCCGGCAGGCATCAGGGGCCACGACGTCTTCCACTTCGCCACGCGCGTCAAAAAGGCCACGTTCTCGCCGGAGAAGTCGTTCAGGGCGGAGAATTCCTGCAGGGGACCCGGGTTGTCCTTGAGGACGTGGTCGAGCGCCGTCATGGTCAGGAGCCGGTCCCCGAGCTCTTCGTCGAGATAGTCCAGCGGCCTGCCCTTTTCGTACAGGCTTTGTGTTGAGCCCTTGCCCATCAATGTGAACGATTGTGAGGCGCTGCTGAACTGTGATGCCGTGTCCCATTTTGCGTTGCTCTGGTTGACTCTCTTTTGGACGAACCACATGGACATGACTTCGAAGACGGGCACGAAAACGGTGAATATTTCGAAAATCATAATGGAGAGGTGGATCCTGCATCGTGTTAGATACAAAGCTTTCTAGTTCCGTTGTTGTCAAAGACATACCATTGACTCGGCGCGAAGTAGACGTTGACTTTTTCAAATGCCGGAAGGTAAGAAGCGATGAGGAACATGGGCGTCGCGTGAAGACTACAACAGTACAATTAGTACAATTCGCATGGAGAAGACGCCGTAAATCTGTACAACAGCTTACGTACTTTGCCAAACAGCAAGCAATAGTCTGCGTTCGCCACCCCATGGTGTCGCGAATCCCCCAAGCGCGCCAAATCAAGTACGGCGCAACCTGGAAATGCGGTTAATCAGAGTATTTCTTTCACTGGACGAGGTCAAATCGACTCACAATCCACGTCCAAACCACCTGCCACAGGACAGACGGCCACCATTCCCACCCACGGCCCAGGTCAGCCAGTTGCTCCGGCAGCGTATCGCCCTTGATTTGCGTCCCGGGCAGGCCATACGTAGGGTGGTACTTCTTGCAAGCAAACCACATGCCAACAGTCAAAAGGACCTAGCAGCACCTGTCAGCGGAAAAAGCACACCAGACACACGCGGCAAATGACAATCCTACAGACCTGTGCCACCATGGCGATGCCTATAAACAGCATACTCCGCGCGGTGTAGTTCATATTCCGGACACGGCAAAGAAGGGAAGTCTTGGCGCCATTGCACCTGGGCACCACGCGATGCTCAGATTGCACATGTGTAAACTGCCTCTGCAGCCTGGCGACGCGGAGAAACCGGAGGTTGGAGGCGTGGAAGAGCGCAATGCCCAGCGGGAAGTAGATGCCCATGAAGAAGTACTGAATGTCATAGGCCAGGATGACGGGTATCGAGCGGCCGATGGGGTATGTGATCTGCGCCAGGACCCAGTACGAGTGAAGCAGGATGATGGAGCCAAAGGAGAGAGGCAGCCCGCGAATCTTGAGGGCCGGGTTGTTGCGGTGGACGAGGCAGAAGGCCATGCCGGACAGCACGAGGAGCGTCCACGTGCAGCAGAAGCCTATGTAGAACCTGCCGACTTTGTCCCACAGGGGAGGCGAGGTCGGCATGTCGTATATCGACATGTGAAGTAAGTCTGGGGTTGCCATGGTTGCCTACTCCGTGCCCAAGGCTTGCTGGCTGAGCTTTTTTTTTTTTCAACAAGCGTTTCCGGCTGGGTTGATAACGGGGAAACAGGTTGAAATAGGAACCCACGGGAGAGAAAAGGAACAAAAGAAAGACAGATGTTGGGATAGAATCTCTCCTTATAGACGTGGAACTGTTCGGTATTTAGTATGAGAAGGAAGCCGTAAAAGTGAGCCAGATGCCGCATACAGTCTTTTGTTAGTGGTTGTATATCACTGTCTTTTCCTCCCCGCAAGTGATCGTCACTTTAGCCTCATTGGGGTCTGTGCAGGTTTTTTTCTTAGTTCCTTGGTCATGAATTTAGGGTATAAGCTACATCTTTCAACGTCGACGCGCCGTGTGTTGAACGTAGCATTCGGCAGAAGAGATCAGTCTCCATCCCATCATGAACGGAGGCGAGAAGGGAATATAACACGTCAGGTGAAGCAAAAACCACGAGGTGTGACAAGGTTCCATTTCGTGTTTCTGCCCTCTGCCTCTTCAGCAGCACGAGCCAGCTCTGGAAAAAGCAACAAGTCTGACCTGCTCCATTGTCCACGACGACCACGGGGCAAACGGCTTCCCGCCCACGCAGGATGGAGTCTGGTAGTA